CTCATTGGCTGCGCCACCACGGGGACGGGGTGCGTGGCCACGCGCTGCCTGGGTCCCACTTCCCCGAGCCTGGGGACAGCACGCACTCCCTGGCTCCCAGGCCTTCATGCTGAAACCTTCCGTTTATGAGAGCATTTTCAGCGGCAGAGGCTGCCTCTCTGTGTGGTTCATAGAGGATCTGCTTTGTTTGAGGTCCTGTTCCCTTCACCAGGTGGTGACGGGGCGGCATGGCCTGGGGTGTCCCTGTCTCCCTGTGGGCTAACCCATCCTGCTGTGGGGGGTCGGAGGAGGAGAGCTGCAGGGGGTGAGGAAGGCGTCCCACGCGTGGTCATGGGAGGCAGATGCCCTACTGGGAGGATCCCAGAGAGTGGAGGATCCAGGCGGTGCAGGTGACCATCCGTGGCCACCAACACTCCAGTGCCCCCCAGAGGGGACTCCGGTGTGCGGCTCCCAATCAGCCCAGCCACCACTCCTGGCACACATTGGTGTGTGCTGAGGCCCAGCTGTGCTTCCAGAACATTCCCTGGTTTCGCGGCCACCTGCTGAGAACTGGGGCAGAACACAGTGGAGCCACTCACTGGTCGTCCTAAGTCTTTGCTGGGAAACCAGTTCCACTGTCAAGTTGTGCTGGTCCCTCCAGAAGATGGACATTAACCTGGCTACCTGCCACCAGGCAGCTCATGGGGAAAGCATTCTGCCTGAAGTCAGGGCCAGTGCTGTAAGCCGTGGGGTGGATGAGGGGTCTGCTTCCCGAGTGCTGGGAAGCCAGGCAGCTATGTTTTGAGCCCCTGAGTTCGTGTTACCCAAGGCTGTGCCCATGTGAGACAAGGTCGTCTCGTAGGAACTGGATGGGCTCTTGGAGGAAATGCCTGTTAAATGTCACCAAGAAACCCTTTCTGTTGGCGTTGGTGGTATAGTGGTGAGCATAGCTGCCTTCCAAGAAACCCTTTCAGCCCTGGGGGCCCATGCCCTGTGCTTTGGCCAGGAGGGCCATGTGTGCGCTTCCATTGTTTCCTTGGTGTCTGGGAGGCATGGAGCCCGTGGGCTCAGTCCAGGGACCACAGCGCTCAGGCCGCCGCCTCCTGCTTTTCATGTGTGTCCTCCTTCACCTGCATCTTCTTCCGTGCACTCCTGCTCCATGTGCAAGCTGGTACACTCCTGCTCCATGTGCAAGCTGGTACACTCCTGCTCCATGTGCAAGCTGGTGCACTCCTGCTCCGTGTGCAAGCTGACGTGGCTCCTCTGCAGATGTGTTCAGTATAAACAGGAATGTGCCCTCAGGCCTTTCACAGCCAACAACAAGGCGGGTGTATACCCTCTCACTTCTTGGGGCCTCAGGGCTGAAGAGCAGTCAGGTGATGCTTCCAGGTCAGCGGGAGGCCAGCCCCTGACCAGCCCCAGTCCTTGGAGGCCACCTTGCCTGCTGAAGGTCTTGCTCTGGTGTTCAGCCCGGCCTCACCCTTGTGTCCCCTCGCTCTGTGGGGCCCTGGCCTCAGATGCCTGCCTGCCGGGGAATGGTGTAGTAACCTGGGTACAGAGCGGGCACCTGGGGCAGCTCCATGCTCCTCATTCAGGGAGCGCAGTCCCAAAGCAACAGTGAGTGCCGAGCTGCCTTCTCCACTGCATGAGAGTTAGCTGCTTCCCAAGGTGGAAGGTTAGGCCTGCGGGGCTGCCCGTGCCTCCCCTGCAGGAGGGGGCACGTAAAGTTGGACCGTGAAGGCCATAGCAGCCAGGGCTGCGGCATGGAGCCCAGGGAACGTCCTGACACTCGGAGCAGGACACTCACCGGGCGGCCTGAGGACCTGCCGGGCTCAGCCTTTTGGGACAAGCTTGGGCTTCAGGTTGGAGTCTTTCGCAGACGTGCTATTCACTAGTGGAGGCCTCTCCCCACACTGCATTGAGCACCACCTTTGGGAGAGGGTCTCCAACTGCAGAATACGGTCCCCTTCCAGGCCAGGGGCGCGGCCCCCACCCAGTTTCCAGGCCTGGCTCCCCCCTCCCATGAGTGGGGAAGATACCTCCACCTCAACAGGATGAGCGTGAGGGAGCTGTCAGACTGCCGCTGATGGACACACATGCACGTTGTTTGGAAGGGGCCCAGGCAATGTGCACACCGGCCCCTGTAGACATACTCACCTGCTTGTGCACATGTTGCAGCCGTGGGACTTTCCTCTGACAAACCTGACCTTCCTCAGGTTCCACGCCTGTGTGCTCCAGCTCCCGTTTAATCAGCACGTTCGGAAGAACCCCTCGTTTTTCCTCCGCGTCATCTCTGACACCGCGGCACGCTGCCACACCCTTCTGAAAGCCAAGAATCCAGGTGCGTGCAAGCGACCCAGGGCTGGGGTAGCCTGTGGCGCTGGCAAATGCCAGGTGCTCACTGCACGATTCCAGCACGGAGCTGCCTGTGCGCCAGGAGCACTGTGGCTGGAACAGCTCCGGCCCTGGTGTAGCAGAGGCAGGATTCAGGGAAGTGGGCTCTTGACACTTCCCGGCCGGTTTAACTTGCTGAGCACTAGCCGACCTCTCAGCCACCCTCTGCTGCGTGGGCAGACGTCTGTCCTGATTGGAACGCTCGGGGACATTTGGGAGCTGCCTCCTCCCGGCAGGGCCTCCCCTCTGGTGCTCAGGGGGAGCTTGCACAAATCCAGGCCGTAGTCAGGAGGAGGCTGGGCCCCAAGTCCCCTGCCTGTCTTGGGGGGGGGACACCCACACCATCCACTTCGCCCCGTCTCTGCTCCACAGCCTCGTCATAATCAGCCTCAGTTCAGGTCGTGCTGTGTCTTTGTGGTCCTGAGCTTGACCGACTTGACTTTCTGTTTATTTCTGTTTTGAGGAGGTTTCTTTGAAGAAATTGAAAACATTTCAGTTGTCAGAATTGGGTGTACCCTGTTGTTGGGTGGCCCCTGAAACAAAGTCCCTGTTTGGTCCCTGTTCCTGCACTCCACCCAGCAGGGACCCCTGGTGTCCACGGGAGCACAGGTCTCTCCTGGGAGGAGCACATGCCTCTCCTGGGGACACGGGCCAGTGAGGGTGTCAGCCTCTGCATGTGTTGTTCCCAGGGATGCCTCTGGGGACCAAGGGCGCTGCAGGCCCATTTCCCTCTGAAG